ACATGAAGAGGATGTCTGAAGCCCACTACCACTGTAGATCCACAATAAAACTCCTCCAGATTGCTAATTACACTGTATTTGAATTAAATTTGGATTATATGCTGCAGCTGTAATATGAAAGAAACAAAAATCTACTTAAGCAAACATGGAATTGGATTTGTTTGGCAGCTACTTTGGTAGCTAATATTAAAAGATACCAATAAGGACATTGTATTTCATTTTACTTAAAATACATCGAGAAAATAGCTACAAATAAACCTAATTCTGATAATTATCTGTATTTTTGTGTGTAATCTTGCTGATTAACAATCAAATGTGGACAGAAACACATAAACTCCCCGGCAAAGGCAATCATTTTGTGTATTGAGGGGTTTCATACGTTTTTCATCATCTTAAATGTGAGAGTGTTTACCCTCCAAACCCAGCTTCATATAAATCTTGTCAGTTTTCTTTTCTTTTACGGAAGCAAAAGATAGAGGCCATCTACCCGGAGCACAGCCCTGACTAACCCGTCTAAACTGTAGTTTCGCTGCGCAAACACACGGTGGGGGACTGTGCTATTCACAACAAATACACAACAGACCAAAGCAGAAAATTAGATTAAATTGTATTCACAAGAGTGAAACCATATATTTTTTGTATAATCATAGACCAAATGCATGACTTATAAAATTGTATTTTGAGTCCAACCCATGACCAATGGCTCAACTGCACAGGATGAAAACTGATGCCATCTACTGATGAGCTCCACTCTCTTTGTGTTTGAAGTGGGAGAACATTATGTACTTTTTCAACATGCAGCATACAGACGGAGGGTTCCCTTTGCATTAGAAATATATTGATGATGTACTCTATAGCCATTATTATTGTTTGAGTCCCTCCAGATATATTTCTTAAATGTACGCTGACTCTTGGCTTCATGCTGAGCCTCTTGAAATGCAGCCACCTGCAACTCACAAGGGAAAATATTTATTCTGGGCCTGTTGGATGAGACTGCTCCAGAATTTCAGGACTGGAAAAAGCTGTTGCTTGAGGAATGTATTAGAAGCACACAGCGACCTTCAGTCCTTTTTTAATATACATGTGTGCAGCAGGCGAACTGTCAGAGTCCAAATGTGGGCACAAAAACAGAAACAGAAACAGAAAACACACAACATGCCTCCATACTGCTTGTATGGTGTCATCCAAGTATGTACCCTCGTGCACACAGAACACTGCACACACTCTCGTCCCAAGGACACGCAAGGGGTGCATGTTTGCATGGCTACGTCCGCCAGAATTCAGCACTTCTGGTAGTGGACTTTTAGGCTGAAAACTTGGTCTAAATGACATCATTTTAAGTTGATTATGAATATCAGGGCTTGCAGACACTTGAATGACACCACATGAGCAGTATGGAAGCATGTCGTGTTTTTTTCTCTGCTGTTTGTTTTTTATCCGTGAGACTCCTAAAGTGTTTTGTGGACTCAAACACTTCACCCACCCCTTCATCAGCCTAGTGGTGAGTAAATAATGGGTGATTTTTCATTTTTTGGTGAACTATCCCTTTAAGTATCTGGTTAACAAATAGATAAAAGGTACATGATGGAATAATCAATTGTTCTGTAGTAGACTGCTACCATCTAGTGGCTAGAATAAAAAACTGCAACCGGATGACTCATTCATTTGGAGCGTGTGACTCATGTCCACTTCTGCATTTAATGGTGTTTATCTGCCTGTAATTTTCATGTTTTATCCAGAAAGCATCTCACAATCAATGCAGTTCACAGTTTTATGTCAAGTGAAAGATACAAAGCTTTTAAAACGTGTCTCATCCTGTGCAGCTTCTGTCACATCTGGATAGGTTGGTGAAAGAAAGAGCTGAAGAATTCTGGCACATTTCTTCAGTCAGATATGATCAACATGTGGAAGTAAGATAGAGTGCAGTCACATTTTCCACTGTACTGATATGACAATGATCAAACTGTAATTGGTGAGAGAAGACTGGTCAAAATAAGCATGAGGTTATAATGCTGTACAAACATGGACGGTAGTAGTATCTTGTGCCGTTTAGATGCTATAAACAATTTGCACTGTTAAAAATGAAAAAAGGCAGAGTTCTGTTGAGACCCCAGCTGTAGAGACATTCAGTGCAAGCTGCATCTTATAGCAGGGACAGGGGTGAGGGAATTTTGTAAAATGAAGCAAACTTAAGGCAAATCAGTTTAATTCTTGGTTCTCGCTGACGCCATATAAGTGATGTCATCAGTTGCTGTTTCTAGCATGCTTGATGAATGAAAACAACCGACTGCAACTGGATCTGAAGACTTATGTTTCGGACATATCACACATTGTGCTATTTGCTGACTATCAACACAAACTGAAACCAAACTGAAACAGACATAATCTTACTTGGTCCCATCACTCGCCAAGGGCTAAATTATATTTATGATTGACTCAAGAGTAATAACGAGTGTCCCTGCCTTTTCTGGGACACTTACAGTAATAGAATAAAGCCATGTGTTTTTCCTGTTATGACAAAGTGGGGAACTAAGGAGGAGATACACATTTTGACTCTTTTATAAACTGCTGACAGCAGTTGCATGTGATGAGCTGCAAAAAAAAGTACATACTACTGTACACAATTAGTTTCAGTTGCATCTTTTCTGATTCAAATCAGACAGCTCATACTACTATTTGATACTACAACAAAACCAGACTGGACAAGTGAAGTGTGTGTGTGTGTGTGTGTGTGTGTGTGTGTGTGTGTGTGTGTTGAACAACATTCTGTGAATCACCACTGTGCATGTGGTTCATGCTCCCTCAGGTGTGGCACAGTCTCAACACTCTCCCCACATCATGTGGACCACAGATGAGAACTGAACTTTACGTCATACAATAAAATAAACCTGATAAACAGCATTTTTTATTATGATATCATTAGTGAAAAAAAAAAGTTATTAAGTCCATAAATGTACAAGATATGATAAAGGCCTCTGGATCTGGCGGCTGTTGTGAGTAAATGTTAAGCAAGGGAGTGTGGGAAATTTTCCAGGCTCTGGCTCAGCAGCCTGTTGATGTTACACAAGGGGCTGACAACAAGACATGAAAAACTCCAGTGGGACTGGAAAAGAACTGAAGCCTGGGAAATACAGACATTGTGACAAAGATGCATTTTCATTTAAAGTTGCATTCTGTTCATTAGATTTATAGATTAAAAAAACCCACAATTAATTCACAATATTTAAGGTGTTTAGTGGAGCTGCAGCAGGAAGGACAACACCATTCAAGTGAATTTATATAATTTAATATATTGTTCCTTTCATAGGGAGTCACAAACCTTAAACTGTGGCCCTTTTCCAAAAGACAGCAGTATATCAAGGAACCAGCTTAGACATGCAGCGGAAATCACTCAGCAGAAGTGGCCAAATACTCTCATTATGATTTAAGTATTTGAAAAAAACATAAACTATCTTTATTTGAGTTCTGTTAGCACATAAGGGAAACATTGTTTTTCTTTGGTAAGGCAGGTTAAGAATTCATCTGAAGTTACTCTTACAGTTGTGCATGCAAAGTCCTGACCAACCAAGCAAAGTACCTTGAGATAGAGAGAACCAGTGTTTCTAGTTCCATGGCCTCCTTTAAAGTTCCGTCTATCTGGTGTATCAAGTTCCAGCCTTGTGGTTTTTCAGGAATAACACCCCTCACCTTTTTGTTATGTGTCTCAGAGAAACTTCGAACATCAGTTCTTATTCAACCAGTCAAACCTAAACAGTCAAACCTAAATAGGTAAAGTCAGGAGGGAATATGTTTACCTTCAGAGATGAGTACTTCCTGGGCAGGACAAGTGATGGAAGATACAAATAAAAACTGTGAAACATATAAAATAACTCAGAGCAGAGCTATAAGATGAGTGGCTGCACTTTCCAGTATGCTGTATAAACACGCTGTATAAAGTGAATGTGTTAATAAGTAAGTACATAATAAATGGTATTGATTATAAGGTAGAGGCCCACACACTGTAAAATTACCCCCGTGTTATAACAGCATATAAATCATGTTTGTCTTAAGTCATGTTTGTTCTAAGTCATGTTTGTTCTAAGTCATGTTTGTTCTAAGTCTTGTTTGTTCTAAGTCATGTTTCATGTAAGTCGTGTTTTAAATAAGTCTTGTTTATTCTAAATAATTTTTATCTTAAGCCATGTTTATTCCATGATTATTCTAAGTCATGTTTATCTTAAGTCATGTTT